CAGTTTTGCACTCTGGAGCTCGGCACCAGTATCAGTATTTATAGCGGGCTGAATTTGTGATAAAAAAACTTTGTAGTGTTTCGTTCTAGCCGTCGATAGTCATCACTATTTTACCTATTTTAAAGTTTATTATTTACAGCTTGAAAGTGAATAATAATATATTTACTTTATTACACAATAACATAAATTATGAGAAAAAAACTAATAAAAATAAGACTGCTAGAATCAATATTATGTTTTGATGATTTCAGTAACGTCTTTGAATAGAGAACACTCGAGGAGAGAAATAATTGCAACCTTCCGTGAGTTATGTAACCTAACATTAGTTAATTATTAGAAGCGTAAACAAAATGTAAGAAATCTTCGCAAACTTGAAGCCAAATTAAGCCCTTTAGTTTTTACCACTCTCATAAATTGTAATTTAACATTCTCGTTTCCGATAATGTCCAATAACATAAGTGTCACTTAGATTTACGAACTCTTCAATAAGTCAAGTCAGTTTTTTGTTAATCCAGCGGCGCAACCCCACTACCCCTAATTTTATGTTTGTTATAAGCTTGTGTTTAAAACAATTAAAGCCAGTTGACACCCAGCTTCAAACAAAGTGTTACATTTAACATATATTTGACATATCCATACAACAACCGACAACAACACCGAACTTAACTCATGTAAAAAATTAATGTTTTTTGAGAATAGAAGGAGAATCGCCCCCCTGGCTCGTATCGGACAAGCTGTCGTGCAGTTTATGCGAAGTCACTCTTCATATTTTTCCGTTTTTGTATAATTTCCTCCACTTAGCCATTTTAGCTCAAGCCATTTACAACAATTTATGAGCGCCTCACGGCTCGCTAATGCTTCAACGATGACTTGGAGCATTGAAAATAACTAATAGTGTTTTTAAACATTCAGAATCTCCATCTACATAAATTACAAGCTTTTCAAGCGAAGTCCACGTTCATTAAGTGTTGACGAGGTCACGGTCAGGTCGAGGTGGGTGTGTGTCTGTGTGTTAGTGTGTTTACGTGAATGTGTGTCTGTGTATGTATTATTTCTTAATTGTTTATCTAATAAACCTGAAACTATTATACTTTAAATTATTACCTAACATTTAACATAAAATTTAGTATCGACTATTTAATTATTGTAAGCATTTTTTCTGTTTCCTCATAGTTGAGGTCCAGTAGCCACAGTGCAACCATCTCCTTGCACTCATATTGTGTTGAGGAAAGGGAAGTGTTGATCTTATTATATAATTATATAAACAGATAAATATATTTTGCACACAAGATAATATCCATGTGCAACAAATCTAGGTTACACAGATATTTTTTTAATAACTATTATAGTGGCAATGTGGTGATAATTACAAAACTATAGGCTTGGCTATGAAGAACTAGCAACTGAACCAGGTTTTTGACTTCATTTGCAATTAGTTTTTACTTAGACCTATGTCTAGTACCTATGTACTTCAACCGCTTGGACCACAAACACGGACAAGTGATTTGAATTGATCTTGATGTATCCAACGAATAATGCATCGAATGGTGATGAAGCGATTAAGATTTAAAGACTATTTGTGCAGAAATTATTTTATAAAGTCTTGCATAGACGATAGATAAGAAGCGGTTGTACTAGCCTCTAGAATAAATATTCAATATATATTATACAGAGTAACAATTTAGAATCTTGATGCACGTGATTTTATTTATTTTGTACCCCAAATCCGTAGAAACCGCGTGTATGTAAATGTACTAAATTATTTAGTAATTTATCCCTTCAAACGCCTAGTCGGTAGTACCACTGTAAAGAAGTAGGTAGTCATATAGCAAAAGTGTTTAAATTAATTAAAAATATACGACAAGGCATTCAATTTATGAAACATAGTACAGTAAAGGTATTTCACGTAAAGGTGGGAGCAACAATAATTAAATAAAACAAAAACTGAGAAGAATGGTTTATTTTAACCACGATAAGAATCTTAATAGTCACAGTTAGTCATGAAATTTTTATATACAATTTCTAACATTAAGTACATTGTATTTTCTTATTTACATCTATAGACAACATTCACACTTACGTTTTCACAAAAGCTAATTCAGTCCAATATGCAGTTTGACAGTATGAAAAAACCTGTATTATTAAAGAAATCTGTATATGTATAATATATGTCTTTAAAACAGCGTTGTGGAGGAAAATTAAAAAAAAAACTCATAAATATATCGAAAATTCGTTAAATTAATATTGATTTTTATACGCCAGTCACGTGACACACAACGTGTCACACTAATCCGAATTCTATTATGGAGTTGAATATGTACCTACTGTTGGGACGCCATCTTGCCTAGAGCGCTTTGGCGGGTTATTTAAAGTAATAATGAATGTTTAAATAACAATTTGTGTAGGTGCTATAGTCACTAATAAATAATCTGAAAGGATATAAAAATCTTACCAATTAAATTAAATACCAAGCGTAAACATAATTAATAATATTTGAATAAAAAAATGGAATTAGACTGATTTAGTTTTTTATGAAGAAATACTTTCTACAAACTAAAAAAATATTATGTAAAAAATGTTCCAATAAAGGCAGTGATTTAAGTATAGAAACCTACTATTACATTTCTAGGTTGTAAGTGCTAAAAATATAATACTTTGGGATTTTTGAAACATCTATAAATATAACCTTAATTTCCTAAATAACTTTTTAATTTTATAAACGCTTAATACAATTTGCTTTCTAAAAGAACAATTTAGTTAGCCCACAATTTCTAGTTATTGTAAAAGTATTTATTAATGATAAAGTATATATTGAAACTTTGTATTATTATACTATTACATATTATAATTTCTTTCCAATTTTATAGAAAGTTAAGAAAATACCGGTAATACCTTATCCCAGATCGGTGCTTGCCAACTGGAAAACCGGCCAATTATCGATTTTTGTATTAACTGTCGAAACTTCCATAATTTAAGCCGAAGTGGTAGGTATATGTTTATGGCCCAGAACAATCTAGAAATGTAGTAGAAAATAATATTTAAAACAATGTTAAAGATTCGCTTGTTTTCTCATTCATATCTCTTATTAAGTACATACAAAACACATCTTACAACTAGTTAGGAACGAAAATAAGTTTATATTTACACAGATTTAATAAAACGTATACGATTTCTATAACTCTTAACTACACATAGAATATACTTCGACATATTAACAGACACAATAAAACTTTTTGAACATCCAACAAAACAATTGCGAAAAACGATACTATTTAAACAATCCGCGACTAAAAAATTTTAACGAACAAAAGAACTCGTAAATGTTGAGGACTACGTCGCAAAATTAAAATGAATTCTTTGAATAAACAAGTCGCAAGGAACGTGCCCGTGAATAGGGCAAGTTCGCGACAGCTCCCCGGTGCGCGATCATACGGAATGATTAATTATTGTGAGTTCACAGTTCACACCACGCCCTAAGACGCTCACTTACTGTAGTACAATGGTACATTGTTTGCTTACACTTCCACCGAACAACAGATCACTTTAGATAGAAAATTAAAAATACTGATTTGGTTTATAAAAACGCTACTATAAACGTTTAAAAAAACCCTCGTCTCAGATTTGTGTATTTCTTTCGTGATATTTTTCTTTCTAATAGGCAAGTAAGTGAACAGCCTTCTGTGCCCGATACACGCCATCGACCATTTTGGTCTAAGGCGTGTAGGTTTCCTCACGATGTTTTCCTTTACAAGCGTGTTAAAGTATCAATAGAAAGAAAAGTCTACTGGTGCACAACAGGGGATCGAAGCTAAGAACTCAGGGACGAATCACACGCTCAAGCCACTGACAACACTGTTTTGTAAAATGTTTTGTTTTTAGGCTCTTCGCCGGACATCTCAACAAGAGGTCGTTAAGTCGTGGCTGTGTGACGGCACAGCGTGTGTAACGAGGTTAGACGGGTGTCGACATGTGCAATGTGCGACCCAGCGATGCAGGAACATGCATCCAAGTGAACTCAACTGCACAATGCACTCACTGGTAAATTGTGAGGCATGCACCTAACTGCTAACTTAACTAGTGTTAAGGGTGTATACTATAAATTGTCGTCGACATAAAAGCTGGCTGGTTTTATCATTTCACAACATGAGAAGAAACTCGTTTTTTGTGAATAATATTAGATAATAATTCTAATACTACAGTATAATATCTACTAAATCCTGGAGAAAATAAGGGCACCCACCCATGACCCCATGGAGAGGAATTCGAAAAAATAGAAAAGTTGGTAACCCAGCCCAACTCTATAGGCCAATGCCAGACCCATCTACGTTGGTATAAGGTAAGGTAAGCGCATGGGCCATGATCAGGCGGTGAAAAAAGATTATTTGAGTCGGCCTAGTGGTCGAAGGCCAGTAGGTTGGCCTAGGTGCCGCTGGATCGACAGAGTCGTGGAGGACATGCTGCAGCTGAAAGGTAGCAATTGGTAGGTGGCACATGACAGGGAGCGCTGGAAGTTTCTCATTTCGTAGAGCTGTAGATATTGAGGGAGTGAGTAATATCTGCTATGATATTTTTCACATCGTAAAATCATGAGTTATCTCAACGCAAATATAATTACGGAAAAAACACGACCGCATTAAAAGGAGTATGGGTTTTAAACATCGCTTATTAAAATCTGAGAGACCCTAAGGTTAATACGATCAATAAATACCATGGTTAAATTAACCAAAGTCGAAGAACATTATCACTAAACTGTACATTCATAATTCGCATTAGTTCTACAGAGGTCATTGAGATAGTGTATCTTTTGGGCTACTTAATTCAAAACTTTATATAAACCACTTACTACATGCTTTTTCACAACTTTATACCGATATAGTAACGAATCATTATGTATGGGGTATGCATACTTAGATTTTTCTAATAACTCACTAGAAAATGTTACACTTTACACAGTCACAGCAACAGAAAAGTATTTGCACTGATATTTGTTCAGAAATCGTCTATACAGAGATCTCTTGTATCTGCACGCGTTTCTTGGGCGGCGGGACGGCGGAGGCCGGCCTTTCTACCAACTCTAAGTCGCTGCTGCGCTGTGGACACCGATCGATATATTAATTCAAAACCACCACACACCCATAAACCACTAAATAAATAAAATTTCCAGCTCAACGTAGTATCCTATCAAAATTTCAGTTACAACGTAGTAGGAGAAAAAATATAATTCATGAGGCGGCTATAAATTTATGAAGCTTTAGATTTAAAGCTTTGTGTTTAGTTTTTAAGCAGTGACAATAAACTACTTCATTGGTCATCATAACACACACACATATATATAATTCTCGAGTCACAGTGTTTATATTTGCAAACTCGGCCTGACCGATTTTTATGTTTTTTTATGTATTATCGGTAGGGCTGCTATGCCTCCAACTATTCTATACCTTTAAGTGGTTACGATCAAAACCCTAAAACCTTATTTTTATTTTATGGACCATTATTTTTATTTTTTCGCACAAAAACATACATATTATGGCAAAATGTTTGCCGGATCAGCTAGTTTCATATACGTAAAATAACCATCAGTAACATGCATAGCTAACACACGGCGAGTCATCACGGCCCATTATGCGATCGTTTTGCTCGCATCAATCACACTGAGCTGCATTTATTCCAACCATCGATATTATGCGTCTATTTGTCTACCCCATACCACTGCCCCGGTCATGCATTGTTCCGCACCATTTCTTCTAAAGCAATACTTACGCCAATACGCGAACTCAATTCGCTGTTTTTCAATTGTTCTGTGGCCTTGAGTTAATGTGTTTTTTGTATTTTAAATAATTGTACGTTTTCTACTTGAAATATTAATCTTTAATTCTTTAAAGATGTAACAATTAATTTATTGCTTTAAAATAAATATGGTTTAATAAGAAATCAGGACCTCTGTAACGGGATCGGAATTGCTGTTTCTATTGGAAATTACCAAGTAAGTTCTGGTCTGATCTGACATTCAATCATATTGTGAATGAGTGCGTGCGTTAAAAGCTCCAACATTAAAAATATTGATTTGGTTAAGCGATCGTAGTCGAAAATAAAAATGCCATTGCTATTTTTGTAACAAAAAAATTGCATTACTTGAAAAATAACTAGAAATACAAGAAACTTTAAAAAACTACTTTAAAAACTAACTAGTCGCTAAAATTAAGGTTACATATTTAGTACATCTCTATAAATAAGAATCGGACTTTGAAGGCTTATAAAATAATTCCTGTTCATACGATCGATGCTCTGAATATGTCCAAATATGTTTTCAGATTTTTTAAATAACATATTTTAAAGCGTTACAGAGGCATTATTATCACTCGCTGGATATCAGGCTCTTACGTGCATAAGAAGGGAAAATACGCCTGATTTCTCGATAGTGCCGTCGCGGTCGTATACACAAACCCTACACATCGGTCTAAGTTATACAGAACACATACTTGTAAAGTATAACAGCGTATCATATACGTATCATATACATATATATCTTAATACAGGTTAGTAAAAAAATAGGTTTTATATATGAACACGTTTACCTTAAGCGTGCTTTTCCGGGGCGACGTGAGTGCCTCCGTAAGTGCGGTTCCTCGGCCTGCCCCGCTGCCTGTATACAATATTACTATTAAGACCTATACCTTTCTTAATCCATGCTTATTATATACCTTTTATATAAAAACGCCGTGTTAAGTAAGCAATTAGTAAGGAGAATATTATTGATATTTATGAAATGAGTTTTTACATTCTCTTGCGACTATCACTAAAACGTACCCATTGAAAGGTCTGCGCAACTTTTGGTTGCTATAAAACCAGTGATTACATTTTGTTAATATTATTAGAAAATAAATTAAATATCTAGGGTAAAGGCCATAAGTCGTAACTGCGTATGCTATAAATTCTCGGTACGTATTATTAAAACAGTAGGAATCTCATTGGTTTGAATACTTTTTGAATTAAAAAAGATATTACAGCTTCTTCTTTAAGAAATGTACCAGGACCATATAAGTTTTGTCTGTTTTTACCTTCACGTCGGGGTCTTGAACGAGCGCGCCGCTTGCCGCGCTGCAGATAAATACCAGCGAATACAATTAAGTTCAGCGCCAACAGAAAGCATCCTGCGCCCACAGTCACGCCCAGCGCCACCGTATAGCTGCAAGATGATGATGGAGTTAATCTAATATATAAAATTCTCGTGTCGCGGTGTTTGTAGTTAAACTCCTCCGAAACGGCTTGACCGATTCTCATGAAATTTTGTGTGCATATTGGGTATAACTGAGAATCGGACAACATCTATTTTTCATCCCCCTGTTAAGGGTAGTCCACCCCTACTTTGTTTTTTTTAATTTTTAGATAAAAAAAAATATTTTTATTTTTTTATGTTACAGCATTAAAAAATACATAAAACCTCTAATTTTCAACCCTCTACGATCAACCCCTATTTTTTATTATAAATGATAAACATGGCAAAACGACGTTTGCCGGATCAGCTAGTACATTATAATAATCTTACGCAGTAGTGGTTTTTAAACAACGTATAACTGAATCAGTATTTGAACATAGTAAACTTGGGTATCAATAATAGAAATCTCGTATCCAGTTGAAAAGGTTTAGTAATCGTTCTTTACATTAAATTAATTTCTTTAGTAAGTACGGCCTTACGACAACATAAAAAATATTTTCAGAAGAGTTCATTAAATTATCTCTAATGGTTTCAGATTAAAAAATATATTTAATTATCCTAAGAATGTTACAATGCGGCCAAAAGACCTTGTTTTGTTTAAAATTTACGAAATGGCTTAAGTACCCGTTAAATAATGTACGACTCAAGATATAACATTAACTCAAATCTATTACGTCCCGTTACTTTAATACAAACCTAATTGCTATTTCACTTAAGATTTTATAATCAAACCACAAATATGAATAATTATTCTGAAAACAAACTTTAATAAATTATAATTTCTTAAATTATAATTTTCTTTACATTATATATGAATGAAATATCACATCGTTACGTTTATTTTCACTGGCTAATTTAGCCCACCCGGTGTGTATATTTTCCCATTATCTTCTGGAGTCAGGCGAGTTGAGAAATGATTCATTTATGTTGAAAAAGACAATGGATATTGAGGTCGATCTATCAGTCTTTGGTAAATTGCTGTCGATTCAATATTTGAAAAGAGAACGAAGTACGAACTCATAAGTTATTATAACCGTCAAATGGAATGGACGGATGTACAGATGTGTACAGACATGATTCCAATTTTATAATTGGATTAGAGATTATTGGACCGTTGACCGTTTTGTTTTTAGTTGGAAATTATCATTCCCTTTTACACTTGGAAGTGTGAATCAACAATATTTCATTATTTTAAATCCAATAATGAGCTAACATGTTTGTATCGTATCAGGGCTTTGTATGCGTATTTGTAACTAAAAAGAATACATAGGTTCATTGTCAAAATAAAAATTGGCAATAAACTATACAAATTATATGTAAAATCAATGCGTCCGAGCAGTGAAAAAGTAAAAAGTATTTAATACCTACCTGACGAAACCATAGCAAAGTTAATGGTAAAGAGCTTGGTGTTTGTAGTCTTTGGTTTGCGAAGTAATTAAATTCATAACACGAAAAAATTTATTCCCTCACTTCACTTCACTTTATTTATAATGGCGACAATTTATTCCCTCGTAAAAACCTGATTTTCATACAGCTATGACTGTCATATGTCAAATGTCATTCTGATATAACAGAACAGATACAACACCAAGTTAAATTATTTCAACAGATTAAACAATATAATTATTTCTCATTCATTTTTATGCCTTGAAATTAAAATAAAGTTAATGTAATTTGTAACAATTTTATATGACTTTCATATAGTTTTCACAAAAATAACCTATAAGCGATGTTTTTGGAATGTTAATTCATAAAGCCTGTCAGCCCTAACAAAACATGCACTGTCAGCAGGTAAACACATTAGCGGGATTACAACGGAGTCGTGACTTGTAGCCTCTATCCAAAGCCTTCTGTCTCCCTTAAACCTTGTTTGTTTTTTATTAGGCATCATTTACAATTTATACAGTACCTTTTTAGCATTAAAAGGTTTTCATAATGTAATATTGTTAAAATATAATAGCTTTTGAAATTGGTGCCATATCAATTTCCATTATGACGAATGTCCTATGTTGTCAAGATAGCGTTGCTTTCTACCACAGACTACAGAGTATCTTTTCAGTTAAATTTAAGTAAGCACATTACATACATTATTAATCTCTGGTTGACCACGGTTTATAATGAATGTAACGAATCTGATATGTGATTATTGCTTAATTTATACAAGAAAAATAAATAAAAACTACATAAGTTCACATTCAATTTTTGTATATAAACACTGTTCACCCTAAACAATATGCATCGTATGTTTGTGTGAAGAATAATCTTCTATAAGGGGATCCGAGCTTCCACAATACGGTATCTATTTTCCTCTTTACTTAATAATAAAAGAACCATATTTCCTTATATTATACTTTCGCTTCTTCCTGCTATTGTTTATGTGACAAAAACTTTACTAGAGAAAATTGGACAGGGTCTTATACTATTCGTAAGATAAGGTACATGTTTATCAGAATTTGTTTATGTCCAAAGCATTTATAGAATATAAATATACCTTTTTAATCTGCTTTATGAACTTATTTAAATTATTTTTCATACACTAGCGGGTCGGAAGTTTAATTGTCTGTTATACCATTCTTTAATCAAGACATCATGCGCAAGCAAGCAATACAGCAATTGTCATAGTATTAACCTGAAAAATTAAAAGACTTTTTGTGGTAGTCGGATTTGCAAAGTATGTCGGTGAAAAACGGTTGAACGAAAAAGTTTCTTACGAACGCTGTCTTAACGATGAGAGATATATGATTGAGTGTCAAATTATGTCTAGCTTTTTATTATATAAAAACAAGTCCTCCGCCGCGTCTATCTGTCTGTCCGCGATAAACTCAAAAATTAAATGTGGATTTTACCAATATCTAAAGTGATTCACGAGGAAGGGCTAGGTATATAATTTTTCAAGGTTGCAAGAGCCTAGAGCTATAATCTGAGACCTAATAAAGAGAATATAAGAATATATCCCAAAACCTACCCGTACACACCAAGAGTTTTATTCAATAGATAGATATGTTATATATTGCATTAACCGCTTATCCAATACCTCATTTCCCGGGGGAGTCATTACCACTTCCTTGATCCAAGAAGCGCCCCAACTCTGACGTAATATCTAGATTCACGGCGAAATTTACAACAAACACTATAAAAGTAAAGCATTGTTTGATTTTAAAAGTTTCGCAATTATCCAGCTCGTGCCAGCGGGACACGGCTAAAACAATACCTTTATTAATGGCTAAAGTTGTGTTAGGCAGTCGCAAATAAGAGGGATATTTTTGGGTTTTAATCGCAGCCAAATTTATGTATCAAAGTAATTTCACTCTATGATATTAAACCGCACCCATCCCATTGTTCGCTTGTCGAGTAGCTAAAGGAAAATTTTGGTGACTCTTTGTTAAATTTTCAGAATAAGTTTCTATCTAAAATGAAGATTACCTGTAGTATTGCGAGTCCAAAGTAAGCGAGTCCTCTTTAGGGGAAGGTCTGGGAGGCGGTAGTGCGGCAAGAGCTGGACGTGCTGAGGGAGGAGGGGAGCACTCCTCTGCTTCTAGGCTGTCTTCATCTTCGCTGTCCTCTTCTTCGTCCAGTGAGGTTGTTGTCGTGTACATCTCAGGGAATATGTCACCTGGGAAAAATATGCGTTATTTAAAGATTGCCAAAACATCTGGCACTTTTTCTTCCAATGCTGAAAAAAAAATTGTTAACAAATTCTGCAAATATCAATTTCTCTGTTCTTACATTTGGACCATATTCCCAGAAGTGTCTGACTGGAATGCTAAAGATAAGGTCACATTTGGCGTAAAGTCGTTGCGTATCTGCTATCTCGTGCGGGACCAATTACGTGCAAAGACTTTTCCGAAATAAAGTTTAAGAAACAGGAATTACCGGGAGATTTATATGACTGCGGGGGTGGTTGGAACGGTATTTTGTGATATGTGACGTCATTGGCCGCAATTTACTGCTGCTATTTGTCTGACTTTATTGTCGCGTGTGTTTCATTTACGTTCGATAGGTTTTGTGCTTCGTTTCGCTTCTGTATGGTTTGGTGACGTCACCGTAGCGTTTGTACTAGTAATATAAAATGTTATAACGTCAATAATTTGTAAAATGTAAATAATTTAAAGCTTGGTATCTTGGTATTAATTGAAAATCATGCAGTCTTTAACTCCTTCGTATTAAGCCATATTTTAAGTATAATTTACTGCATTCATAACTTTAGATATGTACGACGGAAGATTCAAAAAACTCTATAAGCCGTAGAGGCTTGTAAACCTCAAGCGCCTTAAGCGATGAATGCGCTGTTGACTTTTCGAGTCACATTCAGCTTGCTTACAAGAAGCAATAGGAGCTCTTTTAAACTAACATAGTAATAGCTGTTTTGGCTGCAGTTATGGAGATGTTATGAAATAAAAGTTTTTGAACGCATATGTTTTAGATGAGTAAAGTTCCGTCTAAATGTTTGAGACTTTTTTTCAACATTAAGCTTGATGGAAAACTCATAAGCTCGGGATAGGAAAATCCGTATTTAATCTATATGTTTTAAGACTATAAACTAAAGAGTTGAACGATAAATCTGAAGAACTACCACAGATGTAAGTATATTTTTTTAGTAAAAGTATTTAAAATTATAATGCATATATGTTTTTAGATTTTTCTTTTAATTTACCTAACTTCAAAACTTAAGACTTGTATTTGTTCAAAGGTTCATTCATGTTTTTCATGGGGCTTCATAATCATTCCACTTAACGAACCAAAAAAAAGTACGTGGAATCCCTCCGCGTGGAAGAAGTGAAACTTCGTAATGTGGAAATGAAAATAGGAAGGGTTAGAAATTTATTTTAAGTAAAATCATATTGTTTCTCTAAGACAAACTTTATTAACATTGCTTGCGATTCACAATTGATCGCATCTTTTAATTATATTTTCGAGTGGAGAAATATCCAAATCTACATTTACAATGGGATTATCATAACTAAAACAAGATACCTACGAAATGTTTGAGTTCTATTTTTAAAGGGAAACTTCTAATGCGACTTCCAACAAGGTGGCGTTAAACGTTTATCGCACCCTGTTGGAAGTCGCATTAGAAGTTTCACTTCAAAAAAAACGTGTGTTTACACGCGTTAGAAGTTATACTTCTTTGGCGTAATAATTTTCTTCCAGCACTTTAGAGGGACTTTTCCCTCTTCGAATTCTAAATACTAGGTTTTTTATCACATTGGGATGGCTTTTCTCTAATACGAGAAAAAAAAAAGAAGGTCGGAAGGGTATGACGGGTCTGGGCGTTCACTGCCTACGATTTTTAAATTTTCTGAGAAGATTTACTCTGTTTTTTTTACCATAGGTAGGATTTCAACGAACTGAAAGGCACACCAACTTTTAAAAAGCTGCAATTTTGACGTCCGAATTTTCGATTTGAAAATTAGGGTGTTTTTCGATATTAATTTAAAATAAGCGCAAACCATAAATACTGTTTTAATCAAATAAATTGACAGTATATTTGGGACATAATAAGGTGAAGTTTTCACCAAATTTCGTTAAAAAAAAATTTTTGTAAAAGATAAAAATAAAAAACCAAAAACTTCGTTTCTGAATTTTTCACACCAATTTTGAGGTTATGTGAAAAATGTGTCGTATACAAAATAGATCTTTTTATTACCTACAACTTTGCCATTTAACTTTCTTCGATAGGACTTTTAGTTTTGCCGGAAATCGAGATAAACCGTTTTTTACCCTTAAAACTTATTTATTAATTTATTTTTTCTTTCATTTTGATCATATTCCCCTGCTTTTCTAATGGGTTTCAGACTACTGTAATTTTTTTTGGTTTCAAAAATTATCGGCACTGGTCTATACGCCAAAGGAATTTGTATAAAATGTTCATGTGACAAAGCGTCTGTTAGAGGGGTCGAAACCGCAGGGACAGTAAGTATTAATTACATTAAAACAAAAAGTTGTTTGTCTTCCGCTGGCCATAGCGGACAAACAACGACGGCTGTAAAGTATTCGGAATGTCGAGTTATGTTAATAATATAATTGTTTCAGACATAGTGTTAAACCCACTTAAAGGTATACTTTATACTTACTCATAATTAATGAAGACATCAGAAGTATGAAAGTACTTTTCATTATACCGATGTACACCCTGCCAGCCAGTGGACTGTGAGATGTGTGCTTAAACCCAAACTTTAAAGGAGTATCTGTATTGTATATGTAGTGTATGCACTAGATAACTAAATACATGAGTGAGACCTATGAACCTAACTACCCTACGGATCCCTAAGCTCTACTGTATGTACATAAATAGTGAATTAATAAATAGGTATAGATGTCTGCACCAAGATACCTAAGGTAACAGACGGAGCCCTACGGGTAGGATCAAAGGTGGGATTCAAGGGCTTGAAGGAGTCTTCGCTACTTTGAGAGGAAACGAGAAATGAATAAGACAGGGCAATATTCAAATCTCATTTATTGTTCAAAAACATTATCTTAAATCCTACTTACACCTATTCACACATACATGACATTCTTCTCGCGAGGTGTATAACTCACCTTCAGCTATTTAGAACAACCATGTGAGCTGTGTCAGAAGTTGATCAATGTTCAAGTAAAACAAATTTAAAATTACTCTTCAGTTGTTAAAAATTGGGAATACGCGTGAGCCGTAGCAGTTGGTCAATGTTAAAATGAATCCTGAACAACCGTAATGATGGGATTACGGTATCAATAAGTAATAAATTCCTTATATTAATTTTATATAAAGAAGTTTTATTTTATTTATTAATACATATTTAAAAATACTCTTCACTTGTTAAACATTGGGAATTTAAGTGAGCCGTAGCAGTTGGTCAATGTTAAAATGAAACCTGAATAACCGTAATGATGGGATTACGGTATCAATAAGTAATAAATTCCTTATATTAATTTTATATAAAGAAGTTTTATTTTATTTATTAATACATATTTAAAAATACTCTTCACTTGTTAAACATTGGGAATTTGCGTGAGCCGTAGCAGTTGGTCAATGTTAAAATGAAACCTGAACAACCGTAATGATGGGATTACGGTATCAATAAGTAATAAATTCCTTATATTAATTTTATATAAAGAAGTTTTATTTTATTTATAATACAATTAAAAATACTCTTTTAGGAGGCGGGAAAATGAAAACCAAAAAAACCAAGGGTTTTATTTTATTTATTAATACATATTTAAAAATACTCTTCACTTGTTAAACATTGGGAATTTGCGTGAGCCGTAGCAGTTGGTCAATGTTAAAATGAAACATGAACAACCGTAATTATGGGATTACGGTATCAATAAGTAATAAATTCCCTATATTAATTTTATATAAAAAAGTTTTATTTTATTTTTTAATACATATTTAAAAATACTCTTCACTTGTTAAACATTAGGAATTCGCGTGAGCCCTAGCAGTTGGTCAATGTTAAAATGAAACCTGAACAACCGTAATGATGGGATTACGGTATCAATAAGTAATAAATTCCCTATTTTAATTTTATATAAAGAAGTTTTATTTGAATAAAAAGTACACAATCAAAACATAAAGGCAGACGGAGCTGTTACCAGACCCGCTATTATTCACGGTTTTGAAATAAGACACTCAGCAAACGGAGGTGGGCGAGTTAATTTCCGTTATTAATGGGGTCGCAGGCTTAGAACCTCGGGAAGGGCAGGCATGAATCAGCACTAATTTACTGCAACTACCTAAATATAGCCATCAGATCTAGGGATAGTCTCATATAACTGTTACTTCTACACGAGTGCAAATGAAGTGGTGAATTATGAAAATAGTTTGATAATATGGAACCTTTCGATTCTTCGGTATACTATATACGGTCGTATCACTTAGATTGGTATTCTTTAGATTGAAACATTTTAAAACTTGTTAAGGGTTGTTAAGAATTATCTGTTTTGAATAGTACTATTTAAAAATACCTATCTATCTGTAAATTTGAAATTCCTATTAAAATTAATGAAAGTCAAAGAAATACTTTTTTTAAATGGAATCTCGCTGCTGGCCTGAAGAGCCTTGATAACTCATCTCAGCTGTTTTGGTGTGCATAGCCCTACAAGATCATTATTACGCTCATAGTTACTCACTAAATTGAAAAATAAAAACCAAAGAAAATCGGTTGCAATTTTTTTTAAGTGAAAATTAAATTACAATATGTATTACACGGTTCAATTCGTTGTAGTGTCGTTTGACATTTTTAACATCAGCACTTCAGATTAATGTAAATTTATCCATATGTGAAAATATAGACATCATCATACATTTACACATACGTATACGTATACATATCATTTCAATATTAAATATTAATTTAACTCAATATTAAATTAATTTATTACAGAAAAGCTCTGTAAAAAGGCTTACTATAAAGTTAACGATTTTCTTGTTGATAAAAGGGCCTGGGGCTAGTGCTAGACAGGCTACTTCTAATTAATTTGCGATATTTGTTTTAAATAAGTGTTGTTTGATGATTTGCTATTTTAAAAGAGTACAGAGAGTTTTTTACGCCGGCTTTTTCTCTCGGCCTCTGTCTTCATTGCCGATGAGTAGGGAATAATAAATTAATGACGTGGAATAAGTAATACCTGTATCTTATGTTCCATAATAAACATATTTTTATTTTTTTAAATGTAATTTGATGTTGTTCTTATTACAGTAGATAATGAAGAGAATTTACCAGATTTAGTTAAAATAAGCAATAATTACCCGAATAAAGTGACAATTATCCAAATTAGTAATTTGCATTCACGTACTTAGACGTCTGAAGACAAAACCTATCTAAAATCGAGGCACGTTCTTCCAGACGCCCAAATGAACGAAACGCGCCAGCGTGGCTTCGAATGCTACGAATAATTCTTATAACCGAACACACCGAGTTACTAAGCACCATATAGAGAGATCTAGATACAGATATTTAATGAGAAAAAGCTTTTTTTAGAAGAAAATTTACAAATAAAATAAAAGTAAAAATAATCCAAAACAATGTTCTGGAATTATGTAACTGTCATTCACATGTCGTGTTCATCCCGTCGATACGGTAAACTCTCTCCTCAAATTAGAACGTATCTATATAAAAGTTTCGAATCGACAGGATATATCCACAATAATCGGATACCGGCGTATTTTATACTTTAAAATGTAGAATAATGTCTGTAATGAGAAAGGATTGATTTGTCAAACAATGAGTGCGTTCCGACATTAACTTTGTGTTAATTAAGGAAAATATATTAAGGCACTCATTCAACAAATCAAGGCACATTATAGATATATACATATTTATTTATTTATTAGTAATTTTACAGCTAACATACATATTATAAAACATAACACTTAGACGATACAAAGCCAAAACAGATTACATAGATAAACAATATACATGAAACAGAAAAAATAAGTAAGCAGTAAGTCTGTAACTTCATTAATAGACAAAAAGAAAAAAAATCAAAGAATACTGAAATTTTAAACAAAATATTGAATATTGAAATATTAAACAAACGACAATTATTACTTAATATTTCATAGAATATACTAAAAAGTTACTGCTAAACAAAGTCAAAGTATTCCCACCTCTTCAAATATTTCCTCACATCATCTTTGAGTGAGGAAATATTTGAATGTGAGGTGGAAAATATCAACATTATCATAATTAGTGCCATAGTTAGTGATATTATATTTATTGTATTACTTTCAGAAATCAGAAATTAAGGTCGGCTAATAACACGACGCTCGTTCACTGTTAGGCGGTAAGAAGTTCGCCGGGTCAGCTAGTAATAAATAAAGTCAACAAATACTTTTAATTTTCATGATTTATATGACTATTACAAGTCACGAAAGCATTTGATTAAATTTTGTTCGGTCCGTACAAAAATTCCTTAACAGATATAAGAGAAATCCCCGATGTAACCCAAGCCGATCGATTCCTATTATAGTCAAGGGACAACATCCCGTGGCCATAATAGGTCTGATAAATATAATATCTCTCGCGGTTCCGCAAACATTGTAACCCTTTTAGATGTTCCGACATCATTAATATTAGCTATCACCAGGAATCGGATACACCTAGTTTGATAAATATCGAGTTGCTACTCGTGTTACATTAATATTAATTCATTCCCTTCGATAGTAATTTAATTAAGCTATTTCCTATTTACGAAAACAAACAAATACACGTCTACAAAAAGAAGTTATTTGATACCTCGTTTGATATTTAGAAAACTTATCCATAAATTATTGTGGGTGATAAATAAAAGAATTGTTGTTTTTGACATTTTACAAGATATTTTAATAGAGAGCTTCAGCGTAAAACGACAACCCTGAGGTCGAGCGTTCGAATCACGGCTGTTTACCTCTGAAGTTTTAATTTTATGTGTTTTCCCAAAAATCTATGGCGGCTGACACCTACTTGCCCGTTAAGAAAAAATTACAAGAAAGATATCTGAGGACATCATAATATGCTATAGCGCCATTAGTTTTGATTTATTATATTTTTAATTAGCTTCCTGTACATTATAGTAAATGTATATGTCATTATAATTTTTTCTCAAACAAAGAAAGTGAGTTTTATTTTGCAAGTTAAACTCGTTAAAAATAAGGTGCTCTGCAAGTGGGTTACGTTACTTTAAGGCTGCTGCCTAGAATTTTGCGGGCAGCGGGGCGGCGGCGGCGGCGGCGCGGGAGCGGGCGATTGCACCTCTCGTTACCCGCCCTCGCACCGCTGCCAGCGCCCCCGCTGCCTCGAGAAAGGTAATTGCACCTCTCGTTACCCGCCCTCGCACCGCTGCCACTCCGCTGTTTTCGAGAACCGGTCCATTTGATTTTACACATAAGATCCTGCCGCTCCCGCGCCGCCGCCGCCGCCGCCCCGCTGCCCGCAAAATTCGAGGCAGCAGCCTAATATTTTATTGCGCGCGGGAAGAAGGACCGGCGCTACCAATTGTACGCTACACACTGTCGCAATAAAAAATGTAAGGTATACATAAACCCCAACACATCTTTTGACACATTTCATACAAGGCATTTTATCATTATTTATTCGGTCCCGATTCAATTATAAGTCAAAGTTTCATAAAAGTAAAACAAGATATATTTGAGTAATTTGTAACGAATAAAGTCGATAGTGATAAATGTCTTAATCACGTCATTTAACTCATTCATTTCTTAAATAAATCCTATGCTTTCTGCTATTACTTAGTTGGATTTTAAAAATTCAACTACATATGCTAGTAGTTTTACATCTAAAGGTATGAGATATTCAATAGAGTCAGTTATCTTTTGCCTTGATTTATTTCAAAAATCACTTTTCTGCTTTGAGAATGTAAGGTCATTTGTTTCAAAAAACAAAACAAAAATCCAATACGAATGCTAAATATCCACGAGTGCTGAATACTGTTCGTCGTTCAACAAAAACTGCATTCTTTATTCAGCGTCAGACGAAGGGCGGGCGGCGACGGAAGTGCGCCGCGCCCGCCATTAAACCGCCCTAAAATCTCGCGTTTTATAAGTTTCCGTCACGGGCTATCGCTCTAATTGCTCACTCATAACATTTCGTCCATTAAATTTTGCGCCTATTTAAATATAATTTGAACCGTAGATTGCACAACAGTAACTGTATTTCGGGCTTTGGCCAACTTTGTGCAGCGCCCAGCTCAATTTTATTCACGTTTAATGAGCACCCCAATGTAAAAGAGGAAATTCAATTTGATTTTCATTAATTCCGCTAATGATTGTTTCTGAAATTTAAAATTAGAAGTCGCATTATTAATTTTAATTAATGAACTAGTTTCCTTTCAAGTTTCATTCCCTGTGTATTTTGCACAGAACTATGTTGAACTATTTTTTGTTAACTCATTATTTGTTTTATCCTGTATATAAAGACAATATATATATAAACGAAATATAAGATCTACGCCCTCACACATTCCTACGCCAGTGTTCAATTGGGACACTCGTTATAATGAAAATAGTTTTAAATAATCTATATCTATTACTATGTATGAATTACACAATTAATTTCAGCGGGTTAACAGGGTATAGGGTAAATAACTTTTACACTTCGATGAGAATTACAACTCTTTATCTAGAGTTTAGTAATAGTATAATAAGTGACTGACCGGCAAACATGTCAGGGTGAAGATCCCGAAATTGGTGGTGGGCTGGTGCCGCCCCAGCTCGATGCAACTGCGGAATCAAGTGCAGCCACAGAGACAGCTTATGACCGCGGTAGTGGCTGCGCACACGCATCTTTGTTCCTTTAAAACAAATGTATTAGTATTTGTTATTATCTTTGTAAGGTAATCTTCATATTGAGGAATAATAAACGACGGAAATCCACGAAATTATGAAAGGAGTTTCGCACGAATTAGTCTTTAGAATAGCCCGAGATCTGCCTCAGAATGTGATTAAGACCGAGGGGAGGAGAACTTTATTGCTTTTGAGTGGACTTGACCTAATAATGTTGAGAAACCGTTTATTAAATCTGGGGGTAACTGCCGATTTTGTTTTGGTTTCGATTCCGTTCTTGTTTTTATAAAATAATTGAAAATCGAACAATTACATAATGTTTCAAGCGTATTTCCTGTTGAATACAAATCTGCAATGGTCTGTACTTGTTGTTTTCATTTTTGTTTTTGTTTGTATTTTTTATGTTTAGACTTATAATTTCAATTTATACTAAAGTCTGTGGCAGTATTTCCAGCCACGGCATAATCGAGCGAGTGTCAAGTTAATTGTATTAGGTTGTTCTTTTGTTTCTTATCTTTATTGAAATTATGTGACTTACCTATACTTAAGTATTGTTGCGTGTTCAGTTCATAGCGGGGCCAGGAAAGAGCGGTCTCCTGGTGGTCATCCGGCTTGGGACTAGGGTCTCCTGTCTTGGCGAAGGCGGCGAGAAGCGCTACACAGGCTTCCGCTACGGTCACATCTCCTCGAGAGTAGTTTCGTGATAGCCCACCCACAAGCGGTAATCCGAGGAAGTATGGCAAAGTCTCACTGGGTACACTGCCCAGCCGCTGCATAACGAATTTTTTATTTTGACTTGTTTATTTTAGCATAAGATAAATAACTTATAAATATTAACAACGTTTAAAGCAATTCAGTACTGATATTTTAAGGAACACCCTAAAACAATAATGAATATAATTGTTCTCATTTGAGCGATAAACTTGCTACCACAAAAATAAGCAGAGAATAATTATAATATTTATATCAACAACAAATTTTTTACGCAAATATGATAAAATATAATCATTAATAAAATAAATCCTTAAAACGAAAGGTTAAAACGTTTTTATTCCTGACTTAAGATAAATATAAACTTATGTTTCGAGAATAAATAAACGAGTCAAGTAACGTCCTATCATCGGATTTCTCTAACGATAATCTTACGATCTGGAGTTTCAGCGTCATTTCCTAAGGTTATTTATTTTTCATTTGTGTCTTAGGTACACAAGATAAATTGAACAACCCGAGATATAAAGTATACCTTATTTGTTCTTACTTTAATTTCAGGGTACAAATAATATTACAACGTATGTATATTAAGCACAATTACTTCATAAATACTTTCGATAAATTGTTAACTTTGTAAGAGAGTGTTAGACATAAATTTGATGTAGGGAAAAAGCTGTACTGAATAAGAAACTACTTTTTCGCGAGAGCCACTTTGGTATCTAGTTTATATGAAGAGTTTACGGTCACTAACATACTCTTGGATATGCTGATGCCATTCTATAATATTCTACTATGTTTTTTTTAAATTAATTTTGTGTGTTCTATTTCTATCCGTTATCATATTTGGGGGCACGATAAATAACAAAGTCACCTGCGGATAATCTGCGTCACGTGAGTGATGTGCAAAGTGGGCAAGGTACGTAGGCGCCCCGCGTCGTGCATGCAGTTGGGCGACTCGTAAGGCGGGCGCAGCACCAGCCCCATCACTGAGCGCCTCCAAGGTAGCATCGCGGATATTTATTGGATGCTGGATTGGCTTCTCCCAGTCCGTGTACTCATTGCGAACAGCCGCAAAAATTTCGTTGCGGTGAAACCGGTACACGTTTCTGACGTATGTACGCAACACCCGGTTTCTACGGATATAAATAGAATAAATATAGCTTCCTCATCACTCGATGTTTGTATAAGTCCAACAACTTAATGGCTTGAATAAACACAGTTCTGTCTTTTTATATTTATTTATTAGAATACACCACACCATATATACCTAATGCATTTTCTACAGTGCATGTTACAATCTATCTACTCTACAGAATTTGGGAGATTCAGCTGATGTTGAACCTTGGGTATGAACAAGGGACGACAATTTTGATATTCTGTTTGACATTATTGTTCTGTTAACATTTTGTGTAAGGACGCTTGTTTTCTCTCACTCTGCTTTCCTGTACTGTTCGAGTAAATGTTATTTGAACATTAAAAAAAAATAAAAACTATTGGTACTCGAAGCCAGGAATCGAACCACCTTAGTCTTGATAATCGCATGTAGATTGTAGCCAGCCTAATACTATAAATTTTATAGGACACTAATTATAACAATGTTACAGACATCATAATCAATCGTAACTGAAATCTTAAGCATGAAGAGTTAGAGAAGAGAAGTATGAAGAGACACGTTAGTAACTACCTGTACTCTTCTTCAAAGCCGTGACGTATATCATCCTCGCTGAAAAAGTGATAGCTCTCAGTCGTAGTAACGATAACAGCGAGGGCGCAATCTAAGAAGGTGTCGCTGGCGTGCAACGCGCGACTTGGGGAAGGGTTGGGCAAGTCTCGTGAGCGGGGTACACCAGGACCCCATCCCGCAAGAAAACGTGCCCGGGGCGCCTCTACGGCAACGAGCGCTGCCAGAGGACGGTTCGAGACACACGATACTAACCTGCAATAGATCATTCTCAGAAAATAGTGCTAAAAAAGTGCATGCGTACAAAGTACACATGTCAGAAGTGAAACTTCTTTGGCAAACTAATTTTTAACTCTTGTTCATATTTATACAAATCTAAAACCTTAGATTTCCGAGACTTAGAGGGAGGGAAAAAGGAAGATATGTTAGGAATTTAATGAATTTAATTGTCATTAAGATATTAAAAGTGTCGAAAATTAATAAAAATAATAAATTTAATTAAATAATAAATTTAAAAACACGTGGCATTTTAATTTAAAATTCGTCATTTGAGATTTCAATAAATTATTTTGCATAAAATACTAATATTTCATAAATTCTCTTTACAAGATTTTAATTTTAAAAATAGAATTTCTATAAGGTAATTCATCCTTCTCACTCTCTGTTAATCGGTCCCAATTGCTCTCTCCCTTATCTTTGACAAAAACGATGCACATCTTCGTGACGTTCCGTAAAAATATTACCAATTAGGAATGTAAATACATGTTGTGATGTAAATGAAGTATATTATTATATATATCAGTTAGCAATTCACGACCAGAAGAGTGAGGACCCAGGACTTTTATAGGTATATCGCTTCGCAAAGCCTTAAAAACCCTCGGTCCTAAAGGCTTTATAGCCTTCATGGATGCAATGAAACGAGCCTAAAGAATATGAAGTGTAGAAGTACCAATGTTCTCCAGGGTGCGTGTCTCTAGTGCAGCGCAAAGCTTGCGCGGCGTGCTCGCGCGCTAACGCGGGGTCCGGAGATAATGCTGTTGGACTTAGTGCGGACCCGCTTAGCAGCACGATGCGTGATACAAGACCTATGGACAAAGTATTTCTTTCTTTACTAAGTATCTCTTATAGTATTTCTGGTTGGTAAACGGAAATATAGCGATTAAACTTGTCGGTTGGCTCACAAGAAATTAATTAAGATTTCTACCGGAGCTTTAAGGATAATCTCTGAGATGGTTTTTTCATTATTCTTATTTGAGCTTTTCAATAATAGAATTACTTTTTTTTTCATATATTTTTATTCTAACCTTTTATGCTGGGCAGCATGACGACAGTATTGACTAATGCTGCGGCAGCGGCATGTCCCAGAAGCGTGACACGGCGCGGATCCCCGCCAAAGGCAGCGATGTTTGTTCGTATCCACGATAACGCCGCTACTACGTCTAACACTGCAGCGCCCCCCGATAGTGAAGCCTCATCATCTTCACCCGTCGTTAAGTACCCTAACCATACATTAAAATTCTTAAAAACGTTTTTAGGAATCAAGTTTTTTTTTAAATATTCATTTTATCGCAAGATTTTGTACTCCTATAACAAGCAAAAATAAAATCATCTGTACTAAATGAAAACTATGTTTTAATAAGCATCATGATACAGGTCACACCTCAACATCAGGGCTTGTACTACAGGTCCTATTTATTGCTATGTAGGACAAGGTTGTATAGTCTACACTAGTTTATATTCCAATTTATTATGTTTTAATAATTTTCCATAAGTTTGCATATACATATGTGTTACTAAATTGATGTTACGATAAAAATGTGCCGTTTTTATTCCCTCAGATATTTCCATAGTAATTTATTAGAATGTGAATATTGTAATAATGAAGTCAGTGTAACAATGATTTAGACCGTGGCTCTGAGCGGCGGCAATAAAGTAGCCGTGCCAAACGCCAATAAACCCATTTGGCTGGCAAGAATGAAAACTTAATGCGCTAACTGACATATTATTTATTTTTAAGGTACTTACCAAGTAATCCTATTCTATAGTTGAGTGTGACGACTAGCAGGTGTGCCCGAGCTGCCAAAACTGCTCCATCTAAAGCGTTGCCCGATCCGCCCTCCGGACCGGCGCCCGCCCAAACTGCAACTGCATAGGGCGCCTCGACGCCACGGGACCCTTCACAACAACAATATATTTATATCGTAGGGATTTTTGAAGGATTCACATTTCTGCAACTACTCTAACGTAAGAATATGCATACAACATTATTGATATACAAGCTCAAATCTTACGTATTGTTCTATCATATTAGCTTTCTCGTATTCAATAAGTCTACTGCGCTCTGACAATTGAGACTAATTTAGAACAAAAATTAAATATTAATATAACTCATGCCTGTTTTCCAAATAGGCAGCAAAATACCACAAACCTTCACTATCCCTACCTATCTTGCTCACGACACTCGCCTTGTACAATATAATGCTGATATTTAAATATTAACATAGATATTTGTGAAACCTACCGCTACCGGGTACATAGATGTTGAGGTAGAGACAATCTTCGCTCTGGTTGACGAGCAGTGGTTTTAATGCCACCAGCTCGTTGTACACACCCAGCGGCATCCTCGACAACGCTGCAGTCCTGTGTTATAAGTTCATGAGCTAACCGTTCATAACGCTTATTACATACATACATAAATAATATTAGAATACTCTGTGGTTCCGAAAAAATTCGGCTGTAGTGTATTGTTATATTTCCCTCGGTAAATAAAAAAAACATCTAAATATAATCACTTCATAGTACTAACTACCTAATCAGTTTCTTGTACATATAAATTCTTGGAATAAGCATTTTTATCACTAACTTGGTTTGCGAACAGCAACTGGCATCTACTCACTTCTAAACTCAAAGAGAGAATATAAAACTCAGATCAGAAAATGTTTATCTTTTTGAGCGTTGGTAACCCATAATAAATACTCTCATCTATTGGCAGCTTATAACTCTCTAAGATATAATTGAACTGCGTCAGAACGCTACTCTAACTTAATCAACACTTGTGCTCCCCGGAGTCCTTGAGGTTGCTAACATATTGCACTACTATCTCCAACAAAGCTGTAATAACGATATATTAACATGATGCTGAAGGCGCTATTCAGATTAGTGTTTTGCGATTTTTAATTACTTCTAAGTAAGTCATACACATTTTGATAGATTTTTTACACTACTTCAGAAAATGGAACAGAATATACATGCACAAAGGGTATGGTGGCCATCGACATCGCATACCAACAAGTATAAGTTTCTATACTTGGTTTAGACTTACTACTTATTATTATTTTTTTTCATGTATCCTTTATTTGTTTAGTTTGTTTTTTGTTCCTGTTTAGTTTCTTTTTCTGAACAAGTATATGTTATACATGTATTTTTGCACTTCTTGCCTACCTTATGTAATTTAAAACTTTTTTTTTCTCTATTATTAACTTAACTTAACTTTTTTCTTTTTTTGTTGCCTGGAAGAGATCGCTCGAAAGTAATAAGGCCGCCAGTTGCTCTCCTTTTTATTTTATTATGTCAATTGTACTATATTAATGTATATGCAACGAAGTGTTAATAAATAAGGTTCAGAGTACAATTTAAAGAAATGAATGTGTCGGTCAATAGCTTATTTAATTATACTGGCGCCCGAGGAGTTCCAGCCTCGGGCACCAATCCCGTTTAGGTTGAATTTTATTTAAACATGAACTGAATATCATAATAACAATAAATGTTACTTATTTTAACCTTTATACAATTTCAAATAATAACTGAACATATTTATCATCCGAGGCCCATATCCTGGCCTCCCCTCTATGTCACGATTGTAACAATTTACACATGTGTGCAAGTTTTTAGTAATTCACATACTTGTTGGCTATATCTGGAATGCGCTGTGGACAGACGGGCGCAAAGGTGTCGGCAAGGCGCGTGCCGGGCCAAGGGGTAGGCGGTAGAGGAGCGCGCAAACGAGGCGGCAGTGCGGCGTAAGGCACCCCCCGGAACACCTCCACAGGCTCCAGTCGCCGCGACGCTGGCTCTACTATGATACCACGGATGGCTCCTGCACAACATTATAATTGTCATACAATCATAGGTACTTACGAATACGGGCATTATGAATTTTTTTATGTCTTATTTATATTAAATTAAATTTGTATAAAAACTAAGTACGTGACAGAGCTTCAGTCGATGCTTCAAATTAATTACTTTTAGGATTTAAGTAACAGTAGACATACATATTCATAATTAATAAATAACTATACAATATTTTTGTTGCACGCGTAAAGTGTGATAATGAATGCAACGAATTCATTTCCTCATTTCAAAGTTTCGGTAAAAATAGTGGAATAATTTAATTTAGTGCAATTTAAATTTTTTAATAAAGTCTGGCCACGCTCGTCCGCGTCACACAATACCTAATTTTTCATACATTGCGGCTGTCTCGCATCTGAATGCACGCTGTGTTGTTGTTAAACACAAAATGCAGCGCAAAAGCTGTTTCATGTCACACAAATTACCGAGAATTTAAGGCACTGCAAAATTAAATTTCCATAGAAATTAAAACATAAAATCTGCAGTTAGGTTGTACAAACTAATCGTTTTAAAACCTTATTTAAAATTGATTATTTATTATAAGCGCGCTAGTTGGTAAAATGCTCACCTATGATACAAAATCGATGGCATATTACTGAAAGCCGATCACAGTGCTTATAAAGAAAAATTAAAAAAAAAACCCAATACAGAAATCTGCGGCCAAGATCTCGCTGTAGCGCCACTGAATCTATTTTGTGAAATGAATGAAATAAAATGAATGAATACACTTAGTGACAATTTTGTGTCCACATTATGATGTAGAAATATACAAAGCTTACCCAAATTTATAAATCACAATCATTACATGCTGGTAGTAGTTACGAGATAAAATATCAAGGTGCACCCTAACACTGAAATCAACCACGACTACTGACCAAAGTAAACCACTGACAAGAATATGTTTTAATAAAACAGACGTCACCCGCATCGCGTTACGGTTGAAAGGATATTACTTTAATAATGTTATTACAACTTTATTACAGCGTACAGAGACAAATCATCATTTTTGATACAAATTGGAAGGCTGAAGTATTTACAATCAAAAGATTCTAGTAAGATTGTGCAGATTATCCAATTACAAGACCGCAAGGAAACCTGGCAATTAATAATTTGACCGGTGACTGAGTGAGCTGAGCTGAGTACAACGGGCAAAGGGCGTTTTAACTGATTGGATTGTTCTGTCACGCCGTACATTCAAATCACTGTGATCAGGGCTAGGCTTCTTCAATTAGTTTATTGCGTTTGATGAAGATGGAAAGAAGGAAAACAAAAAATCATTAAACATTTACAAAATAAAGATTTTATATTTTCTACTACATTCGCTCCATCGAATTGTGTTGCTTTATGAACATAATTCAACTGTGAATTGTATTAATACTGTAGTGGTGCACCAGTTCTATTTTCAGTTGGGTTTCCCTCAAGGTTTATTATACATGCATATAATATCTATAAGATCTATTCTATGATCAAATTTAGCAAAGTAAACAACTCTGTCGATATACTATAAAATGTCCAATGCTCAATGTGAAGGTATGTGAATACTGCCAGCATTTTTATCTAAGTTTATTTATTTTTATCTAAGTTTATTTATTTTTATCTAAGTTTATTTATTTTTTTCTATATGTCTAAGCAACTGCCCACTAAAGTATTTCCACACCTGGTCTATATAAAATAATAAATAAAAAAAAACTCTATTCACCTACAATATAATGTACAATAATAAAGCCCTCAGCCCTACAAGCGGTTTAGTCGTCAACAGGTTCACTTCAAGGACGGTTCCGTTTGTATGAATTATTTATTAGGAATGAGATCTTAAATGATTTAAATTTTACCAAGGAATTTGGGGTATTTTAACGAGCGTCTCGCATAGTTCTCCCGAAGGAATCGCTTCATGAGAATGACGCTAACGGCCCTAATAATATTAATAATAAAGGTAATGTAATATTTTGAGAGTAAATAAAATGAATCTCTCGGTAAATCAGAGCACCGCAAAGCGAAAGATACGTTATCTCCGTTTAAAGGGGCTAAAGTTGTTGGAATGTAAGTTTGCAAGTTTGTTGAAGGTAATCTCTGGAAAATCTGATCCAATTATGAAAATTGTTTTACTGGAGAGCATTAATTCACAGAGCGAAAGCAGATAAGGTTCTAAGAATAACGTGTGAATTTGTTTTGCAACTAATATGATACAGTAACAGCTTAGCCCATGCAGTCAGCATCACGTGCCCGTACAAGACATTTTAGCACCGCCAACCAAAAGCTTTCATAGAAAATACAAACGGATAACGGATGTGATATCACTGTACGATCGGAGATAAAAACAATATGTTTATTATGGAACATAAGATACATGTATCACTTATTCCACGTCATTAAATTTGAATTTGTAGGCGCCCCTACTCATCGGCAAAGAAGACAGAGGGTGTAGGCCGAGAGAAAAGCCGGCGTAAAAAACTCTCGGTACTCTTTGGCCGCTGTTACTTTTTTGTATAAATTGCTAAATAATCGATAAGTATATTAAAATTGTCGTCCCTTACTAATTCCCAAAGTCTTACATCAGAATATTTTTCCAAATTCCTTCTGCAAAAACCGGCATAGGAGTTCAGACACCCCTCTTTCGAATTCTTCGCGATTTTAACGGATTAAACAGTATTTATCCAGAGCTGGATATATTCGGTAGTGGGCTGATCGGTTTTAAAGAAAGCATTGTTAAGTGCGTATCTCGAACCTAATCCGCTGGTTTGCTGCTAATTTATTCTTCTTTTGTGCTTAACAAACATTTCTGGTATTTTTATTTTATGTTGTTTATATAGGTCAATTTTAATTTATTTTTTTTGTAACATTTATGTTAACCTAAATTGTCATACATTTTAGATAAAAGAGTTTGTAACATATACCTTAGATTTAGTACCATGTATGATGTGGTAAACTTTAACAAATAAATAAGTAAACAAGAGGCCTCACTAGGCAATATGTCCTACTGATCTGCAGGCAAATAAGCACTATACGAATGAAACAGTCGAATAGGTGAGATAACGTAGACTTATGTACGTACCAGGCTGCGTGTGCACGATTCGCGAGCTGTAGCGAGGACCGGCGGCGGCGAGGTGCAGCGCGGCGAGGACGAGCGCGCACCACGCCCGCCACGACCACTCCATGCGCCATCACGCGACAGGGGGCTGCAACAACACAAATGATAAAGAATCTATTTAAAAAATAATATGTTAACGAAACGTAAATATTAAAGCACCTACTAACACATTTAAAAGCTAATAAACGTAGATTTAAACTAATAAAATAATATGTAAAGAATAAATAAATCAGTGGCGCTATAACCTCTTTAGGTCTAGGCAAGTAGGGCATCAGCCTCCATTGCCTGACACAAGCCGTCGACTTATTGTTTTCTCTCGATTTTTTCTTTCACCGTTCGAGCGAATGTTAATACGAACATATACGTAGAAATAAAATCCATTGGTACACAGCCGGGTATCGATCCTACGACCTCAGGGTCGCACGCTGATGCCACTAGGCCAACACTGCTCAAATATTATCTAAGTGAGATTTAAATTTGTTATTATAATAACATAAGTATACTGTAGGTATACTGTAGATCGACTAATTGGAATCGGTCATATTATCGATAACTAGTCATAGGTGCGAATATATTTGATTTAAATGATATCGTTATCTGAGTCCGTGTGTAAATTTCCACCATAAATCTATGTCCAATAAGTTGAAATGTCAGCAGGACGTGGGGCGGGCTACCAATTATTACGACGGGCAGTAAGCTGGACTAATCTCGTGCGATTACAATTGCCGTGAATAATTGCTTAATCAATAATTACTATAGCAATAATACGCTAAGTGAATTAGCGGAATCCTTCGTAACGTATTACTTGGAAACTAATCATCTCATATTTTCATCAGCTTTAACAAACTGTGCTGAATGGTTTCTCAATAAATCATTCAACTCATATACAAAAAATTATAGAGTTTCGCGGAATCCGGAAGATATAATTTTGCGGCAACTGACGGCTGCAGCATCCGACGAGCTCCGTAATGGATACTTGGTAAGAACCCATGTTATATAAGTACATAAAAATATTGATTACCTATCAATTATAATGTATATATTATTAGCTTCTTTGTATAAACAAGGAACAACAGTTTGAAAGTCACGTACCAATGCACTTATTAAAAATATGATAAATCTATTTCACTTTAAATTTTATTGGTATTATAATTTGGTCCTAACCTGAAACTTTACGAAAGATTTTTCTAGTTAAAATTTTACTTGGATGAACTCTTATACCGTTTACTAGTTCTTGCGTACATTTATGTATTAAAATGTTTTTTTCCTACAGATATGTAGACTGTAATAAAACAAAAAAAGTATAAACAATCTAAAATTAAGTGGTTTTCCTTTGCTTTTGTTCATTTACTATATTACTTCTACTTCTCATATCTTACAAAGTTATGATCCTGACTTGCAAAGTTCTCGTTCCTACATTGACTTTCATGTTTTCCTTGAACGAATTTCATAAACGACAATTCGCTTTGAACTATAGCTAATATAGAAGCTCGAGTCATAATCTGAATGCAGGTCGGCCTTCAAGAAAATCTTATGAAATTCAAACGCCAGCTAAATTCCTTTATGCACATACAATACATATTAAATTCAGGTATTAACATTTAAATATGGAATTATATTTAGGCAAATCCGCTATCAGTGATATGATAGCGGTTCTGTAGGTGTGCGGTTGAACCCCTGACCCCAATCTACATAAACCCGTCCCTCGCTAGGGGCTGGAATGACACCCGGAGTCCCAGTCCGAATCAATTTCATTCCCGGACAAAGAAATGTCCGAAGAAATGACACTTTTGAATATTCATTCGACGCTGAGACTGATTGGAAGGCTTACTTATACAGTTTCATCGAAATACACTTTTATTTTTAGCCTCTGACTGACAATGTCATTGATATGAATATTGAATAGTTGGTTTATGAAGACGAAAAAGAAATAATCTACTGATAGCGAGTTTGTTACAGAGATTACAGCGCATTTTATATTTTTCTGCTACGATCCTCTCTGTTATGCCCTTCATCTATTCATCCTAAACAGCAACACTATTTTTTTATTTTTTTTATTATAACTCAATAAAATCTGGCTACTCTTTAGAAACATAAAATATAAAGATTTCTCTTGTTGTGTAATTAAAAAATATTAAATTTTGTCCTATAACTCTCGGAACATTGGTTAGACTTTTTGGCACATAGGTCAGTGATCTTCTCACTCCACTGAATACAAAAGTATGTTGGTACAATAATGATGTATTATTATACAATCTTGTAAATAAAACAAAAGGTTTTGTATCGTCATCATTACAAATAGCAAATATTCAATGTTATTATTTAACTTAGGAGTTCTTTAACGAAAACCATCGCAAATAAAGTAACAAATTATTGCAGATATAATCTTATATAGGTTTGAGAAATGGAAATAATGAATTAATTTAAATACCATTACATTCCTAAAGATAAAATTATTCAAATATTCTATTCTACGTACTTGTGAAGGTAGGTTTATTTTTTGGTGCCTTATGAAAATTGTTACGTAAAAAGAGGTTAAAGTTTAATTTTACTATTAAACGGTGAAAAAAAGATGAATTGAATTTAATGGTCATCACGATTCATTCAGTGAACTCATTTTATTTTAAAGTTTTATGGAAATCAGATAAAAAGAGCACTCAGTGACAAAGTGTTCGTGGAGTTTCGGAAAAACCCCAGCTCGCATCAAATGGCATATAATAAGTCAGCCCGGATAGACCCTGTAGCAGAGATCAATTACACAAAAACACTTCTACATATTTGTATTTGTATTTGATTTTTTATTGAATTTACGTGAATATATAATGTTCAGGCTCGTGTATTACCATGTGTCGGTTTTTACGGTAGTGCATACTGCGGTCTTTTAACATTTTCTCTTATAATCTGTTTAATATTTATATAATATTATATTAATATTCTAGCTATTATAAAGAGGACTTTTTTATTCACAGTTTTTTACAACAACAATAATAATATTAACAATAAACTTAAAAAATATGGTGCCACGATTTTGTTCGTTTGAAAAAGCAGATCTTATAGCTACTGGTTCAAATATAGTCATTATTTTTGTGTTTCATTATTCATTTATTAAGAATAATAAATAATTTATGGTTATACTTTCTATAATATCTTGCTGGTCTTGAATGAAAAATGTCGCAAAAACGGGCAAAATTCTTTCTTGAGAGCTTCCGCTGCGAGCGTTGCTTAAACTATGAAAGTAACGCAAAAACCACGTATGATGGGTTTATTAATTTTTAAAACTTGCAAAAATCTGCAACAGTATCCTACTAATATTATAAACGCGAAAGTTTGTAAGTATGGATGGATGTTTGTTACTCTTTCACGTAAAAACTATTAAATGGATTTTAATAAAACTTTACAATAATATAGCTTATACATCAAAGTAACACATAGACTACAATTTATAAAGATATTGTGTGAATTGTCTAAACTATCAAGTAAGTAGGAAAAAATCTACCATCTGCGAGCTATTCTGGCGTGCGCTGCCAAAACCGCTAGAGTTACACATATGTAATGTTTGATGGAAATATGTATCTTAAATAGTCCTACAAAAATGCCCGGCACAGTATATATCTATGTCTTATATGTAGGCCATTATAGCCAAAATAGTAAACCATAACTACAATAAAAAGTGATAATTTATTTCAAATGCACATTTGGTAGTAATAAATTGATTCTTAAATGATAATAGATACTTTTATCGTTTCTGGTATTTAAAATATGTCTTTCACACTACATCATTTGGACAAATATTATCTTAATTCTGTGCAGACGAAGTCGCGGGCACCAACTAGTATATTTTTATGTCGACAATGCATCACTTGTATTTTGGTCATATACTGTGCAGCAGTAAGGAAGACTATTCCTAGATCATCTGATTATTATTCCTTATTACTTTTATTTCATATTCAGTTTCACATAAGGTAGATAAAATTAGTTTATGTATCTCCGAATCAGTAGTTAAGTATGTAAAAACAAAATTTATAATATTTCAACGGTTCAGTGCAGCACAATTTCTGTTTACAAAATACAATCGATATCGACAAAGGTTGGACTTTTACAGTACAACTTCAACTTTTAGTTAAAAATCATTTTAACAGCATTGGACCACACAACTAGACCGGAAAAATTGATTAAAGCTAGCAGCGGTACTACAAACTATAATGGAGCAGTTATGTCGAAGAACTTATTTACTATATTGAAAGCGTTTGTATATTTGCAATGCCTTGCAGTGCAGCTGAAATTCAGAAAGCGCGTGAGTTAAGAGTACCAATCCTATTGATATATGCTTTGCTAGCACTAAACCAAATGTAGGTCGTGCGTCAGCAACAACCAATACTTAGTAAGTAAATCTGAATGTATAAATTGATGAAGAAATAGATATTAAGTTGATTATTGTTTAGTTCTTAATTAAGTGCTGTCACTCTGTTGATTTAAATAAATTATTTTTAAACCAAAAGTCCGTTGCCGTTCCTTTACTCGTGCACTTTTTTTTTCGATATCTTTGCTCATAATAATCATCACGAAAATTTTTGTTTTTATTTAACTATTCTAGCCAAACACAAAATAGAAAATGTTAATATCACACATTAAAATATAGTGCACTTCATATTAACATTAAAAAATAGTGCCTATGGTACACGGCAATTCTTGTCTAGCCTCTGTCTTAATTTCTGTATATGTTAATCAAGCCCTGTGATATGCCTGTCCGGTGCCTTATTATGATACTTAAATATGATAAATCCGTGATATTTACTCTTCGAGTCGTATTAAGTGAATATATATTTTTTAAATTCTTGTAAATAATTCCCCATCAAAAGTGAGAACGCAGAATTAATTTCTACATTGATGAATGGTCAAAGTTTAAGTTCCAATAAATTTTAGCCATATAATTTGGGTTTGATGATATTTTTGCTGCATACAGGCCTTTTTAAACTGTTATTGTGATGGGTTATGTGACTGAAATTAATAGTTTCTTAGTTGATTTCCCTTTCCTACTTACCTGAGCTAAGAACAGTAATTCAAGTA